GGTTCAAACCCTGGTCAAAGCAACATCGTAAAAATATAGAAAAAAAAGGTTTTTAATTAAGAGCGGTCGTCCGTCGGCAGGCAATGGCAAACCTCCGAGTGTATTTCGCCATGAAGAACAGCTTCTGATTAAAATACAATCGCCGTTCGGAGTCGGCGTAAAACTGTAGGTCCCTCCGCTTGTCCTCCACAAGTCGGAGGAGAAGCTCGGCCAAACACTAACATATGTGTAAGCGCCAATCTATTATTATTATTAAGTATATAAATAGTTTTTTTTTGAAATTGTGAAACACATATTAGGAGTAAATAAAGCGAATCTTTCAGCCTTATTATGTATCACGAACGATAGGCAACACGAACGATTCGTCTGCAAAGAAATGCTTCAAAAACTCGTCCGGCGGCATCATTTTAGCCGGTTTAAACGCAACCGAGACCATTGCAACGTAATATATGAAAAACAAGACGAAGACGACCGATACGACGACCGAGACGAATCATTCGTTTTGCCCATCGTTGGTGATACAGAATAAAGCCCTTTGTAATTGCTACTCGGAGAAGAAAGAAAATATGAGTTTAAAAGTTTGGTGAGGGTTTATTATATGCAAATAAAAGCGGCTAAGTTCAGATTATTAGTGTGGGGTGTTGCACTAGTGCAACAGAGGGGAAATGGGTGTGGTGACGAAACGATAAGACAGACATGAGACTGAACGGACCTTAGACATATAAATAAATACGGGCTGTTGTCGGGAATAGGGGACCTTGCGGAGTAGTTGGAGTGGTGGCAAGGTCCATGGCTACTTCGTGTCTACAAACAGATGGGGAGGGATGACTCCGCCCGACCGGACTGTTTCGGACTTTCGTTTCGCTTCCTCTCTTCTTCTTGAATTTGCCTTTTCTAGAAGAAGGCATGACTCTACTTTATTTTGTTAATGTGGTTGTAGGTGAGATAGGTGGTAATGATCCCCCAACCGGCTAGCTAGCCTGGGGTCGCCAGCATGAGTAGTACCACCGTACTCCGCCCCAAAAGCCAGCCACATAACAAAGAGCAATAAACACAAAGGTTGTTTGAAAATCCGAAAAAACTTTTGCTCTTTTAATTCAGCTTAAAGTCGGTTTGCCAAGTTGATAACCACCATTTTTTTTGTAAAGATTAACGTTAGCCAAATTTTCCCTTAAGCCCATTTACAGGTCTTTTCTGCACTGGTAACAAAAATTTTGTAACCGGTAAATAGAGTTCCTGTCAATTAAAAATTACACTTTTCGCATTCTGTGCACTCTTCTAACCAGTAAATATGGTTACCATCTCATAAGCTGGTAACAAAATATTTCTCCGGGAAATATTCAATGCCAGAATTTTCACAAATCCTCATAGCTGAAGTGCTAAATATTTCAACTGCATTGCCAATCGAGGTGAAAAGAACTGGTAAAATTTTTTGGTAATAAAATGTCCGGTTATAAAATCTTCGATAACGTGCAGAATAGACCTGTTAATATGACCTTTGACCCCACGTAAGTTCTCAAGCGACTTTTCGATCGTCACGAGTTTTGGTACTCTGGCGTTTGCCATTGACTGCCGAGGCGATCGCTGTCAGAAAGCCCATTTTCTATACATTCCTTTTGGATGTTGCGAGGGCCAGGGACTGAACATTGGTCCCACCGTATTGCAGTACATACGCTCCTCTAGTCACTCGGCTAGAGTGACCATCTTCTTCACACATATCATCTTCATAAAAGATATAGTTATTTTCGATATTGAGTTACCTGCAAGTTGCTAATTATTAGATCAAATCGAATCAAAAATTTTTTTTCACTGTATGTCATCAAAGCGTTGCCTTCACGTTGTATTCCTTCGACGTTATACGCGATTCCATTACTTAAAATCAAATTCGCTTTATATATTCCGAATGGGGTCTGTAAAAAAACGAACTGAATTAAATTCTTTATGTAAATTCAAATGAAGGTAAGATTACTTTGTTTCAGGGACCGCAAATAAGGATTATCCCTTGAAATTTCAACTCGAAAAATCACGCTGAAAGAGAAATGCTACGTGCATAAGGAGTAAACTAATATATTTCTCATTACTCGGAATACCTTCAGCGGCACTGATTTTTATTTTTTAATTTTTACTTATAAAAATCAAGTTTAATCCTTATATTTTGAGTCTAATTTTTTGCTGGGAAAATAATCGTTACGTTTTAAGTTTTATTTTTTGCTCGGAAAATAATCGTTACGTTTTAAGTTTTATTTTTTGCTCGGAAAATAATGGTTACGTTTTAAGTTTTATTTTTTCTCGGAAAATGATCGTTACGTTTTAAGTTTTATTTTTTGCTCGGAAAATAACCGTTATTTCTGATTTTTAAAACTTAATTTTGCGTAAGCGTATGCGCATGCGTAAATAGACAGGGGGTGGCTGCATTGCATTTTTAACGCCACTGTGGAGTGCATAATGAAAATGCAGAGAGCAAGATACAAGGGCAGAAACAAAGACAAGGGCAGAAACAAGGACAAGGGCAACGACAAAACCACAGATACACAACACACAACCTATATTGAAGGATAAAGCCAATGATAAAGGTGAAGAACAGGACAAAGTTAAAGATAAAAAAAAGACAAGGATA